ATTCAGCAACTATCAAACTACCTTAGTAAACAGTTTTGTTAAAATAAACTTAGTGTGTAAATATCAGTTAATTTAGTGTATCATGTTGTGGAAAACAAAATTTAAATCAGCTGGTGTAAATATCTTTTTAAAATATGTTAAAATAATTATTATTTCAAGGAAATTATAACACCTTAAAATTTTGGGTTAAATTGGAGTAAAAAGAAATGCAATGATCAAACCAATTAAAAATTTGAAACATAAAGTAGGAGGGTCGATTTGTAATAAGTTAAAACTCAAGGACTAAACTGAAATTGATATATGTGTACATCCAAAGCCAAGAGTGAGAAAAAAAGGGTGGAAGCGGAATGAGACCCGCATTGGGGAACCCGATGTATCCGTTTTGACGAGACCCGGGATTCTTCGTAAAATCGGGGACCGGAGATGGGGACATGGATCTCCAAAAGTTAAAAACCGGAGATGAGGATGGGGTTGGGTAACGTGATCTTCAACCCGCTTCATCTTCGTATATTAAATATATCATATATTTTTTTTGATTAACCTGGATATCCAACCCGTTATGCGAGCCGATTAATCTCAAGACAGCCACCTGCTTTGTAGATAGCCCGGAGTAGAGATGGCCAAATCGGCCCGGCCCGGCCCGGGACCGCTGGAGGACCGGGACCGACAAAGGACCGGTCCGGGACCGGGACCGGTAAGGACCGGTTATGGGACTGGTAAGGACCGGTTATGGGACCAAAAACCGGGACCGGTTGAGGTTTTTGGTAGTTTCGTGGGACCGAGACCGACCGGGACCGGTTATGGACCGACTATGGACCGACCAGGCCCGGCCCGGCCCGAAAATTCAAWTAATTTTATAAATAAATGTATTTTTAAATAATTTTATAATATATTTTTATAAGAAAACATAATTTTAATTATATTAAAACACATTGTTAAAGTGTATTTGAGTGACTCAATTGTAAATTTTATAATGTATTAAAAATATATATCATTAAAAAAATCAAAAAAAAAATCTTATTTTTTTAATGCAAGGACCGATTGGGACGGTTGGGACCGGGACCAGGACCGGTTACGGCCAGTTATGAGAAAGATGAGGACCGATTGGGACCAGCCCGTGACCGGTTTTTGGCTATCTCTAGCCTGGAGTCACCGCATTTGAATCTCCGTGGCCACAAGGGGATTTTTATTCCTCATTGGATTTGAACATAAGACCTCCTGATACTTTTGACCTTTGGAGCCAAGTTCAAACCAATCAGGCACCACCCTTGTGGTTAAATATATTATATATATTATTACATATATTATTCATAAAGGATTAGATTTGATATCTTTTAGGATCGGGGATGGGGATTAGGGTCCCTGCCCTATTCCCACGCCAAGCAGTTGCATTTTGCATGAGGAGTTGAGGGAACAAATGGCAGAGATATTGTCAACTTGGCCAGGTAGATCCATTTCACTCTGTGAACCTTACATCTGCTTTTTTGGAGTACAAAACAACTCTGCTACACAAATATAACAAAACCGTAGATGAAATTAAAGAGAAAGAGAAGGAGAGCAAGAAGGCAAATAAGCCACGAATTTAAGGTCATAATTTTGGTGACATGCAGTATTTAGGAGGGTTTATACCATAATCTATAAACCTTCATATTCCATAGAGGTCGATCAAGAACCTATATATCAATTTTCATGTGTAAAAACCATAACCTACGATCTTCAGGTTTTATCGAGATGGATCTGGAACCCACGTAGAGCAATCAAGAACCCAACAAAGAAAAAGAAAACCACAATATATATGGTTGAAACTATATTATATTCATGATGAATATTATGGTCAAAATTAATATTTACGATAAATATTACTAAGAGAGTTGTTGTACACACGTTCACATACATACATATTCATGATGAATGTTATAATAATAATATATATTAATTTATGAATATCACATTGATGTAAAAATACTAAAAAAAGTTGTTGTTTACACGTACTCTAAAGGAATATTCATAATGAATATCATACAAATACACCATTTTACATAAAAACTAATATATATATATATATATATATATATATATATATATATAGG